TGAAGAGTTTTTCATGTCTCTATCTCCTTCAGTTCAGCTCTGATTTTTGTTATTTCTTGTCTTCTGCTGGTTTTGGGATTTGTTTGCTCTTGCTTCTCTAGTTCTTTTAGTAGTGATGTTAGGTTATTAACTTGAGATCTTTCTAACTTTTTGATGTGCGCATTTAGTGCTGTAAATTTCCTTTTAACACTGCCTTCGCTGTGTCCAGAGATTCTGGTACTTTGTATTTTGTTCTCATTAGTTTCACAGAACTTCTTGATTTCTGCCTAAATTTCATTATTTACCCAAAAGTCATTCAGGAGCAGGTTATTCAGTTTCCATGTAATTGCATGGTTTTTAGTGAATTTCTTAGTCTTGATTTCAAATTTGATTCTTCTGTGGCCCAAGAGACTGTTTGTCATGATTTCAGTTCTTTTGCATTTTTTGAGGAGTGTTTTACTTCTGATTATGTGGTCGATTTTAGAGTAAGTGCCATGTGGTGATCAGAAGAATGTATATTCTGTTGTTTTGGGGTGGAGAGTTCTGTAGATATCCACCAGGTCCATTTGATCCAGTGCTGAGTTCAGGTCCTGAATATCTTTGTTAATTGTCTCTCTCAATGAGCTGTCTAATATTGTCAGTGGGGTGTTAAAAAGTCTCCCACTATCATTGCGTGGCAGTCTAAGTCTGTGTGAAGGCCTCTAAGAACTTGCTTTATAAATCTGGGTGCTCCTGTGTTGGGTCCATATGTATTTAGGATAGTTAGATTTTCTTGTTGAATTGAACCGTTTACCATTATGTAATGCCCTTCTTTGTGTGTGTGTGTGTGTGTGTGTGTGTGTGTGTGTGTGTGTTTTAATCTTTGTTGATTTAAAGTCTGTTTTGTCAGTAACTAGGATTGCAACTGCTGCTTTTTTATGTTTTCCATTTGCTTGGTAGATTTTCCTCCATCTTTTTATTTTGAGCCTATGTGTGTCATTGCATGTGCGATGGTTCTCTTGAAGACAGCATACCATTGGATCTCAGTTCCTTATCCAGCTTGCTACTCTGTGTCTTTTAATTGGGGCATTTAGCCCATTTACATTTAAGGTTACTGTTGGTATGTTTGGATTTGATCCTTTCATCATGATGCTAGCTGGTTATTTTGCAGACTTGCTTACATGTTTGCTCTATAGTGTCACTGGTCTGAGTGCTTCAGTGTGTTTTTGGAGTGGCTGGTAACCATCTTTCCTTTCCACATTTAGTGCTTCCTTCAGGAGCTCTTGTAGGGCAGGTCTGGTGGTAACAAATTCCCTCGACATTTGCTTGTCTGAAAATGATCTTATTTCTTCTTCACTTATGAAGCTTACTTTGGCCTGATATGAAATTCTGGGTTGGAGTTTCTTTAAGAATGTTGAATATTGACCCCCAGTCTCTTCTGGCTTGTAGGTTTTCCACTGAGACATCCGCTGTTAGTCTGAAGGGCTTCCCTTTGTAGGTGACCTGGCCTTTCTCTCTAGCTGCCTTTAACATTTTTTCTTTCATTTCAACCTTGGAGAATCTGATGATTATCTGTCTTGGGGATGTTCCTCTCGTGGAGTATCTTCCTGGAGTTCTCTGGATTTCCTGAATTTGAATGTTGGCCTCTCTAGCTAGGTTAGGGAATTTCTCGTAGATGATATCCTGAAATACGTTTTCCAAATTGGTTCCATTTCCCCATCTCTTTCAGGGGCACCAATCAGTCTTAGATTTGCTCTCTTTACATGAGCCCATATTTCTCGGAGGTTTTGTTCATTGCTTTTCATTCTTTTTTCTCTATTCTTGTCTGCCAGTCTTATTTCAGAAAGCCAGTCTTCAAGCTCTGAAATTCTTTCCTCTGCTTTGTCTATTCTGCTATTAGTACTTGTGATTGCATTATCAAATTCTTGTAGTGTGTTTTTTCAGTTCCATCAGGTTGGTTACATTCTTCTCTATATGGGCTATTTTGTCTGTCGGCTCCTGCAGTGTTTTATCATGACTTTTAGCTTGCTTGCAATGGGTTACAATGTACTCTTTTAACTCAGTGAAGTTCATTCCTATCCATATTGTGAATTGTACTTATGTCATTTCAGCCATCTCAGCCTCAGCCCAATTCCAAACCCTTGCTAGAGAGGTGATGAAGTCATTTGGAGGAAACAGGGCACTCTGGCTTCTTGAGTTTTCAGCGTTCTTGCACTGATTCTTTCTCATCTTTGTGGGCTTATCTACCTTCAATCTTTGAGGTTGCTGACCTTTTGATTTTTTTTTTTTTCTTTTAACAGTCTGGCCATGTTTCTGTAGGGCTGCTGTAGTTTGCTGGGCTTCTTCCCCAGTTCCTAGTTGCCTTGGATTTTCCAGTACCTGGAGCTATCACCAGTGAAGGCTGTGAAACAGCAAAGATGTCAGCCTGCCTCTTCCTCTGGGAGCTCCGACCCAGGGAGGTACAGACCTGTTGCCAGCCCAAACGCACCTGTAGGATGAGGCTGGAGACCCTGGTTGGGAGGTCTCACCCAATCAGGAGGAATGGGATCAGGGAACTGCTTAAAGAAGCAGTCTGGCCATGCTTTCGCAGATCAGCTGTGCTGTGCTGGGGCACTGCTTCCACCCCTGGTTGGTGTGGGCTCTCCAAAGCCTGGAGGCTGGAACAGCTAAGTCGCCCAAACAGCAAAGACGGGGGCCCCTCCCTCCCTCCCTCCCTCCCTCCCAGAGCTCTGTCGCAGGGAGAATTCAAATCTCTGTCAGCCAGAGAACACCAGTAGGGGTTGCTGGAGGCCTTGGTTGAAAAGTCCCACCCAGTGAGGAGGAACAGATTGGGCACCTGCTTAAAGAAGCAGTCTGGCCATGCTTCTGAAGAGCAGCTGTGCTGTGCTGTTCTGGGGTACCACTTCTGTGAGCTCTGTCCCAGAGAGCAGCCTGCCCCTCCCCCTGGGACCTCTGTCCCAGGTAGGTGCAACACTGCTGCTGGTGGCTGGCTGGAACTCCAAACCAGTGGGTCTTATCCTGTGAGGTGCAGTGGAAGTGGGGCCCGCAGATTGTTGCTGCTTGGCCCCTGGATTCAGCCTCTTTCCTAGGGGTATGTACAGGGGTCTAATCTCCCGCTTTGCAGGAGTTGCAGTTACTTTTGCTGGGAAACCCAGAGCTGGAGTATGTAAAGCTCCTGGGTCTCTGCACGTGCTGAAGCGGCTGCTCTGCTGAGACTCCAGGTATCTCTGTCTGTCAGACTGAAGGCCCTGGTGGAGTGGGTTCACGAGGGGATCTCCTGACCCAACGGTTGCAAGGATCCATGGGAGGAGCGTGGTTTCCCAGGATCGTACATTCACTCACTACTTCCCTGGGTGGGGGAGGTTCCTCTGTCTCCATGTTGCTCCTGGGTGGGCTGTCATCCTGCCTTGCTTTTCTTCATTCTCTGTGGATCGAGTTGTTTCCTTGATTAGACCCAATGCAGGTACCTGGATGTTTCAGTTGAAGGTGCTGTATTTACTTGCCCCTTTCCTTCCTCTCCGTGAGAACCACTCACCCTGGCTGCTTCTAGTCAGCCATCTTGGCCACTCCCTCCCCACCCCCCCTCCTTTTTTTAAAAAAATGCTTGAAAACTGTTTGCAAAAGAAACCTAGAGATTCTCATGGTTCTTTTAAGATCTTGTTGGATGGACTGTGAAAGTGGGATTATTGTCTATGAATGGTCAGCTAGACTGTGTGTGTTTGGAAAGGGTGAGGGAATTAACATTTATTGAGCAAAAGGGCATGCTAGTTAAAATCATTGTTGTCTCTGGGGACAGATTTTTCTGGGTTTTAATCCAAACTCTGACATGTATTAGTTGTGTGACCTCTATTTTTCATTTGTAAAATGGAGATGGGATTGTCGCAGGGATTAAAAGCACTTAGAACAGTCCAGGATATACAAAGCACTGTGTAGGAGTTGGCTGTCATTATTAGTCATCAGTCATCTTACTTAATAATCACAAAATTGTTAGAAAATCCTGTGAAGGGCCGGGCGCGGTGGCTCAAGCCTGTAATCCCAGCACTTTGGGAGGCCGAGGCGGGCGGATCACAAGGTCAGGAGATCGAGACCACAGTGAAACCCCGTCTCTACTAAAAATACAAAAAAAAAATTAGCCGGGCGCGGTGGCGGGCGCCTGTAGTCCCAGCTACTCAGGAGGCTGAGGCAGGAGAATGGCGGGAACCCGGGAGGCGGAGCTTGCAGTGAGCCGAGATCGCGCCACTGCACTCCAGCCTGGGCAACAGCGTGAGACTCCGTCTCAAAAAAAAAAAAAGAATAAAATACGAAAATCCTGTGAGGTAGATATTTTCCTTACCATACCCATATGAGAACACTTAAGCAATGAGAAGTCAAACAAAGTTACCAAAGTCGCACAATTACAGAGTGACAGAGCCTTTAGATGCTGCCTAGTCCAAGGCTTTCATTTCGCAGAAGAGAAAATTGAAGTTCAAAATAGGAGAGGTACATGCCTCAAGTCATTTAGTGAGCCAGTGCCAGAACTGGGCCTAGAACTCAGCAGCAGGACTCTTCCTGTCAGTAGTTCTCAAACTTTGTCATGTGTTAGAATCCTGCAGAGGACTTGCTAAAACAAACTGCTGGTACCCCTGCCCAGAGTTTCTTACTTAGTAGGCATGGGGTGGGCCTTGAAAATGTGCATTTCTAAGAAGTTCTCAAATGATGCTGCTGCTGGTGGTCTGGGGACCCTACTTTGGGAATCACCACAACACACCATAATTCGTACATCTTTTGTTCTTTTCATCATGGACTACACAGTCTGTGACCTACAAACACTTTCAAAGAAATGGGAACCAGTGATGAAAACCAAAGAAAACTACATAGCTAGCAGCAAGAAGGTACGGTGACTGACCAACAGTCCTGGTTCGTGTGGGACTCTCCTAGTTTTAAAATGGAAAATCCTGTAGTTCTGGGCACAAGAGGATGGTTGGTCACTCTAGATGAAAGTGAACAAAAGTCAGTGTCAGCTAAATGCCAAACAAAAAAGGACATACATACAGAGAATGTGGTAACTTCTGGTGAATTTGTTTGAAAAGGACTCATTCATTTATTCTTTCAATACATCTGTATTATAATACTACTGTCCATAAGGCACTGTGTTAGGTGCTGTGTTCCTGACCCTACAGATCCCATTCCACCATAGCAAAAGGTAAAAGTGACTCTACAGTGAGCTTGGTAGACATAGACCCATGCTTATATACTCAGGGACACCTGGAAGAGCTGTAAAAAAAAGAAACATCTCACATAGGAAGTTTTCAATGCATCAGGATCAGGACTCAAATAATTCCCTTCTCTTTTTCTTCAGTGTACCAAAGGGAGTACATTGTTGAGAAGGATTGGTTGCAAATTTCCAAAAGGAGGGTAAAATAATTAACGAGTCAAGGTGTCAGGAGAGACAGAAGGTAAGGGGAGTCCTTCAGTAAGTGGGGAAATTGATTTGTTTTGTGTCCTCATCTCTCCAGGGCCATGATCATGTCCTTTGCTGGCCGTAAACCAATGCTGACCTCAGTTATAGTGTAATCTTCAAGGCTAATTTACGCAAAACTTCAAAAATGGTAAACATCCTCATGAAGACTAATGATGACATATTTTAGGAGTGCATAATAGTAGGTATAGAGGAAAAACTTCAGGGTAAAATGTTATTGCTGTTCTTCTTGCTAAAGGGCATACTCCTTAAGAACCAAAGTTAATTATCAGTCCTTTGACCTATGAGGAAAACAAATTTCATGGACTCCCCTAAAGATTCCTATATAGTACAAATAAAATGCCAAAATATTTTGGGAACACATTTTGGAGCACTGGATGTATCAATAAAATAATGTGTAAATTGCCAAATGTGATCTAGGAACTCCCTGCAAACATCAGATTAGGCTCTATTCTCTATCTGAATACTGACTTTGCTTTGCTTTGTAACTCCTGTCTTCACTAATAATGCCTTTTCCCCCCTCTTGTGTGCATCCTAGCCTATATTCTCTTTCATCATTCTACAGTGGTCAATGTGGTTATTGTACAGCTTCACTTTCAATGAAAGCTGAGGGAAAAGAAGCTTCATAACCTGCCCTCCCCCCATACATAAAAGAAGCTATTTAAAAAATAAAAGCAGCAAGCTACTAAATTTGACTCATTCAAATCTTGGTAATTAACATGTATAGTATTTTATGAGAGAGACAGAGAGAGAAAGAAAAAAATTAGCAGAAATGGAGGAAAACATATTACATCCTAAATACCACCAAATTGCCAAAATACACATTTGGGTAGTAATCTCCAGAGAACTCTCTGGAGGCACGGCATCTATCATGCTGATTTCCCTGAATAATATTACAGGATAGCCCTGTGTACTTCTCTTGGTGGTGGTGGTGGTGGTGTGTGTGTGTGTGTGTAAAGAATTATCATATGGAACCTCACAAGTCTCTAAAACCTTTCTGCAATTATCCCTCATAGGATTACCACACTGATGAGTTTGTTCAACAGGAGCTGTTGTGACTTCCTAATTTAACTCCTATAGAGATGATTTGTATCGAAGATAAAACACTATATTTGAACTCAATTCCCACCTTATCCCTGAGCTTATGCTACCAGCAATTCTTATAATGTTTGGAGTTCTATTAGGCTATAGAGAAAAATCTAGGGTTTCAGCTAAACCCTTTAATCCCCAGGCCTATGTAAAGGACTGTCTCAAGGTAGTCGCTAGCCCATGGGTTCTCAAAATATGGTCTGAAGACCCCTGGAGGAGTCCCTGAGGCCTTTTTAGTGGGTCTGCAGATTAAAAATTATTTTGTATAATAACACCAAGATGAGTTACATTCAATTAAGCATTTTTCTTTTGAAATTAAGCAGACTTTTGGAAACCCAGATGTGCATAGCCCTGTAGTAGGCTAAGTGGAAGTTACAAAGACAATAGTAGCTTTTTCTCCCCCTCTCATTATCTCGTGAGGAGACAGAGGACTTTTCCAGAGGCTACATGACATATGGTTATGTCATCTCTCTGATAGCTGAGGGATGTGTGCTTCTGCGTTCTTGAGTTTTAAATATTTCCCAGTCTTAATACCTAAAACAATTAGTATCAATAGATAGAACCCACACCCAAGAACTCCTTGGGGCCTTCAATAACTTTTAAGAGTGTTAAGGTGTCCTAAGACCAAAAATTTTGCAAATTGTTGCTTTATCAGGATTTTTGTTATTTCTAGAATGCATTTCTTTCTAACTGATCTACTTGGGGGAAAAAAAAATCACTACCTCATGGCAATTATTGCTTTCCTATCAATATGGAGATTATATTTCTGAAGGAGATTGACCAAAATTATATTAAAAGGTTTAAATAAAACAAGTGGATCCATGTTATAACATGAGGAAGAGAGCTGCCCCACTAGAAGTCTGACATTAGATAGCTCAGAGTCCCCCCTCTCTAACAAGTCTCCCCTGCTAGAGAAAGGGACAGCTTCTGTTTTGTGGGATGGGATAAGGAGACAATCTGAAGTAGAGTTTGACACAATATTAAATATTATTCTGCGCATATGAAATTCTGGTAGCCGGGGTGCCAGGTGTATTCATAATCCCAATGCTGTCAATTTTAAGCCTGAAGCCCCAAGAGGCGAGCAGTGTTTAATACGTCATCCCTTGTTAAATAGCAGCCACAGAGTTGGCGGTAGCCAGTGAAGCATTCCCTGCCATGTAGGACACGCCAGTTGTCTATAAATAGGACCTGTGAATGGGCAAAAAAAAAAAAAAAAAAAAAGAGAAAACACTATCAGAAGAAGGACAGACCAAAGGAACCCTAAGTCAGAAGAGATCATTTAAAAGACAAGCTTTAGGTTGTTCTCTGGTTACATTAAATGAGGTATTTTTCTTTTGAAATTAAACAAACGTTTGGAAACTAAGATGTGTATAGCCCTGTAGTAGGCTAAATGGAAGTTACAGAGGCAACAGTAGGTAATAGGCCCTGCAGTGGAAGAGCTTCTGTTTCTCAAGTAATTGTTCTCTTATCAAAGCAAATCAGATAATTGGTTTCTTTCTTTTTCTTTAATTCTTATTCTACCCTTTCTCAAAGGGTTAAATTATCTCATGACATTTTTTGCTAAGCTGAAGGTATTTTTCATCCAGAGGAAATACCAAAATAAAAACTATGGAATCATGAAGCTGGAAGGACCCTTGGGGGTCATCCAGTTAAACCCCCTCACCATACAAATAGAGTTACTGATGCCTTAGAGATGGGATGAGGCTTGCTTCCAGGGCATTCAGTGAGTGAGCCGCAGGACCATGACCAACACCAAGGACTCTTTTCTCTTTTTCCTTTGCAACATTGTGACTCACATATTAAGTAAGTACCCGTTCTTCACTGCTTCATTATCACAAGCTTGCTTGACATCTTTAGAGATTAGGACCCACCCTGCCAGGCTTTAGTTTAACCCAAAACTCATTCTCAGGTCTCCTCAACTCTATCGTTAGAGTCCGGTGTGCTGTATACCAGCGATGGACGACATCATAAGGAACGGTATTGATGACAGCCCGGTCATAGTTGTTGTACCTAACATGGAATCATGAGAAGAAAGATCTCAAACACATGTTAAAGACATCTTTTGTTTATTGAACAATTTTATATAAGGCTTCCCCTATGTTCAATACTTGTCCCAGAGACGAAGTGACAATAAGTCAATATTCTCTCAGGAATATCACATTGGAGTGAGGAGTTCCACTGCCTGTTGACCGTATTTTGTTTTTCTTTGAATAATCGAAGGATACGGGATAGAAGTTAAGTTCCAACTGGTTTCTCTCATCTTATGATATGATATTTTAAGTCTTTACTGGCCAAAGTTCATGGAAGCACTGGGGAAAGCTCTGAGCTTTCTCCTCACCAAACTGAGGTGGGGTGGACAAGAGAGGTTATACTAACAAAGCTTTCCTTTTAACAGGATGACTTACAACTTCTCAGGTGTCTCCCTTTGTGGGAGGAATCCCAGCTATAGCCTAGTGGACCATTCACCCAGGGATCTTCAATCATTCATTCAACCCTAACATTTATAGGCGCACCGGCTACATGTGGAGGAGGTAGCCAGGGGCTAGATCATGTATATATTGCCATGCAGGCCATGGTAAGGACTTTGGATTTTATTCTGAGTACCATGGGAAGCCACTGAAAAACCTTGCCTAAGATAATGGGTTTCTGTTTTGCCTAAGGCAAATTAACTTTTTACTGAAGTATACTATACATTACGGGAAAGTACACAAATCGTAAGCTTGATGAATTTTCATGATGTAATCGCATCCATATCACTAGCACCCAGGTCAATAAACAGATCATTACCAGAACCCCAGAACCCTTCCTCATGCTCCTTTCCAGTAACGCCACTCCCCCAACCCAAGGGTAACTACCATCCTGACTTCTATCACCAAAGATTAGTTTTGCCTGTTTATATAAAACTTTATATAAATGCAATCACAATATGTATTCATTTGTGTCTGGCTGCTTTTTCATTTAATATTATGTTTAGGAGTTTCATCATTGTTTAGCAATAGTTTATTGGTGCTATACAGAAGTTGATTGCGTGATCACACCACAATTTATTTATCCATTCTACCGTTGATGGACATATGAGTAATTTCCAGTTTGGAACTACTACAAACAGTGCTGTTATGAACATTCTATTACATGTCTTTGGTGAACAAATATATTCACTCCTGTTTGAAATAAACTTAAGAATGGAACTTATGGATCATAAGGTATGTGTGTGCTCAGATTTACTAGATACTGCCAAATATATTCTTTCCAAAGATAAATTAACATCCAATGGTGTCATTTTTGGACATCTCAGGCAATATTCCTTAGTGTTATATAGTACATGGCACAATCAGAGCCAATATTCTTAGTTTTGTTGCATATAAAATGAGCATAATAACATCTGCCTAGCTGATCTCACAGGGCTACTGCAAGAATCAAATGAAAAAATAGGCCAGGTGTGATGGCTCACGCCTGTAATCCCAGTACTTTGGGAGGCCGAAGTGGGCAGATCACCTGAGGTCAGGAGTTCAAGACCAGCCTGGCCAACATGGCGAAACCCCATCGCTACTAAAAATACCAAAAAAAAAACAAAAAACAACAACAACAACAACAACAACAACAAAATATTAGCCAGGCGCGGTGGCACACGCCTGTAGTCTGTAGTCCCAGCTACTTGGGAGACTGAGGCAGGAGAATCACTTGAACCCGGGCGGCAGAGGCTGCAGTGAGCCAAGATTGTGCCACTGCACTCCAGCCTGGGCAACAGAACGAGACTCTGTCTCAAAGGAAAAAAAAAAAAAAAGAAAGAAAGAAAAAGAAAAAGAATATAATAGTCCATCCTCCCAGGCTTCAAGGAGCCATGCCTGGAGGGAGAATGAAGTGAGGACGCACAGTCTTCACCACCCATTGTCATTTCCAGAAACTTCTAGTGCTGGGTTAGGCATTTGCAAAAATATTTTTAAATTTACTTATTTCATCATCCCAGAAGGAAAAGTGTTATTAACCACCTTTTACATTTAAGGCAACTGAAACTTAGACACCTGCCACAAAGTTTATAAGTAGCAGAGAGGTTTTGAAATCTGGTCTCCTTAATTCTTTAACTCATTATTTATGCCAGAGAACAGAAAAATGATCGTAATTCCTGTGTACGCTTGTTCATGAGAGCAACATTTTTACAGATAACACTTGTAATCTTTTGACTTCAAATTGAGATTTACAGTTTAGAAATGTTTCCATATACAGTATCTCATTGACCCTCTGTATGATAACCCCGTGTGGTAAGTAGTACAGCTGTTATTATCTTACTTTATAGATAAGGAAAATAATGATAAGGCCCTGTGATTTGTCCAAGTTTACATGGAATTTGTTATTCACTGTTTATATTAGATGGCGGTGTTTTCTAAAGCCAACAGAGAAAGTATCAGGAAAAGTCTATTACACATAAGCAAAATGGTTGTGCAATATTCTCTGGATTAGAATAAGACTATTTCTGGACTTTGGCACAAAGTGATGCCATCATATTATTGTGCAGTTTTTCCTTTCTTTCCTGCTTTGATATGAAGCAAGAGAGACCTGGGAGCAGGGGCAAGCAAATAAAGCAGGCATTTATCTGACAAGAAAAGCTAGGAAGATTTAACAAGGTTATCCTTCTTCTTAGCTGACAGACAAGTATTTCCCAAGACAGCTCCATAATTGAGTGGACAATGCATTTGATGGATTTGTGTATTGTGGTGTAAGTGACAGCTGATGGGCTTTCAGATAGGTAGATAAATGGGCTTTCAGATAGATCACCATTACAATCTCAGTTCAGACGTGTGATCTTGGAGGAGCTATAGAAATTATAAAAATGCTGGAAGAAAACCTCGGGATGAGTCTCCAGGATAATGCTCTGGGAAAAGATTTTATTGCTAAGACCCCAAAAGCACAGGAAACAAAACCCAAAAATAGATAAATGAGACTAGATTAAACTAAAGAGTTTCTGTGAGGCAAGGGAAACACTCAACAGAGTGAAGAAACAACCCACAGTATGGGAATATGGCCATTGTAGAATGGCTGTTATTACAAAGACCAAAAATAACAGATGTTGGCAAGTATGTGGAGAGAAAAGAACTCTTATACATTCAATAAACAGTGCTGGGAAAACTGGATGTCCGCATGCAGAAGAATGAAATTAGACCCTTTTATTACAACATATACAAAAATCAACTAAAACTGGATTAAACACTTACATGTAAGACCTGACACCATAAATCTACTAGAAGAAAACATATGGTATAACTCTATGATATTCGTCTATACAATTACTTTTTGGATATGATCCAAAAGTATAAGCAACGGAAGAAAAAATAGGTAAATGAAATTACATCAAACTGAAAAGCTTCTGGCACAGCAAAGGAAACAAAAGAATGAAGAGACAACCTGCAGAATGGGAGAAAGTATTTGCAAACTATACGTCTGATAAGGGGTTAATATCTAAAATATTTGAGGAACTCAAACAACTCAATAGTAAGAAAACAAATAACGTGATTTAAAAATGGGAAAAGGATCTGGATCGACATTTCTCAAAAGAAGACATACAAATGGCCAACAGGTATATGAAAAAGTGCTCAACATCACTAATAATCAGATAAATTCAAATTAAAACCACCACGAGATATCACCTCATACTCCTTAGGATGGCTATTATTAAAAGGACAAAAGATAACAATGTTGATGAGGATGTGGAGATAAGTGAACCCTTGCACACTGTTGGTGGGAATGTGAATTAGTACAGCCATTATGGAAAACAATATGGAGGTTTCTAAAAAAAAAAACTAAAAGCAGAACTACTACATCATCCGGCAATCTCACCACTGGGTGTATACCCAAAGGAAATGAACTCAGTATGTCTGAGAGATATCTTCCACGTTCTTTGCAGAAATATTCACAGTAGCCAAGATATAAAATCAATCTAGGCAGAATACATGGGAGAGTATATACAGAAAATGTGGTATGTATAAAAAGTGGAATACTATTCATCCTTGAAAAAGAAGAAAGTCCTGTCATTTGTGACAACATGGATGAACCTGGAGAACATTAAGTGAAAATAAGCCAGGCACAGAAATATCAGTACTGCATGATCTCACTCATATGTGTAATGAAAAAAAAAGTTGATATCATAGAAATAGAGAGCAGAATGGTGGGTACCAGAGGCTGGTGGGTTGTGGAGTAGTGGTTGGGGATATGCTGCTCAAAGGATACATAATTTTAGATCAGAGGAATAAGTTCAAGTGATCTATTTTTCAACATGGTGACTATAGTTAATAACAGTGTATTGTAATTTGAAAATTTCTAAGAAACAATCAATCAATGGAGTGAAGAGGTAACTCGCAGAATGTGAGAAAATGTTTGCAAACTATGCATCTACAAGAGATTAATGCCCAGAATATATAAGGAGCTCAAACTCAATAACCAAAAAAGACATAATCCCTTAAAAATGGACAAAAGTTCTGAATAGACATTTCTCAAAAGAAGGCAGACAAATGGCAAATGGGTATATTTTTAAACGCTCCGTATCACTAATCGTTAGGGAAATGCAAATCAAAACCACAATATCACCTCACCCCAGTTACAAAGGCTATCATTAAAAAGACAAAAAATAGGCTGAAAGTCAGGATGGCTAATATGTACAAACACAGAGAGAATGAATAAGATCTAGTATTTGGCAGCACAATAGGGCAACTATAGTTAACAATAACTTATTGTATATTTAAAAATAACTAAGAGAGTAGAATTGGAGTGTTCCCAACACAAAGAAATAATAAAGGCTTGAAATGATAGATACCCCAATTATCCTGATTTGATCATTACATATTGTATGCCTGTATCAAAACATCACATGCACTCCATAAATATATGCAACTATTATTTACCCATAATAATTAAAAATTTTTAAATTAAAATTCAATAAAATAAAATATAATAAAGTGATCTTAAAATAAATTTGCCCGTGGTTAGATATTACTTATTTGTTACACTTTAATTGATGATTTCTATTATAATTTCATAGTACTTAGAATATATATATATATATTAGAAAATATCATCTATAGGATTTTTGCTTTCATGAAGGTAATGATACTTTAAGCCTAAAACATTAGAATTTTCAATAATTTTCTCTAGTGTTTGGAAATAATTTTAATCCTCTGTTTAGTGCTCAAAAATGCTGTTCATTTGTGACCGATTAAACTTTCCAATAAAGTGATTTTATACTCTTTATGTTAAAGAAACAACAAATGCTGGTGAAGATGTGTAGAAGGGGAAACCTTATACATTGTTGATGGGAAAGTAAACTAGTATAGGCAATATGGACAACAGTACTGAGGTTCCTCAAAAAACTAAAAATAGAACTAGCATATGATCCAAAGCACTCACTACTGGGTATATTAAAAGGAAATGAAATCAGTATGTTGGAGAGATACCTGCACTCTCATTGTGATGGTTCAGTTTACGGGTCAGCTTGACTGGACTGAGGGATGCCAACATGGCTGTTGAAGCATTGTTCCCTGGGTGTGTCTGTGAGGGTGCTTCCAGGGGAGCTTGGTGTGTGAGACAGTAGACTGCAACACTTAAGATCCACTTTCAATGTGGGCAGGCACTGTCCTATTAGCTGGGAGCCTGGTTGGGACAAATAGGCAGAAGAGGAAGAACTCTCTGTGTCTGCTCATTCTATCTCCCTTCTGGAGCCAGATGCCTTTCCTCCTCCTGCCCTTGGGCATCAGACTGCAGTTTCTTCCACTTTTGCACTCTGGGACTTACATCAACAGCCTCCTGTGGGCTCTTAGGCCTTTGGCCTCAGACTGGGGTCTGTACTGTCAGCTTCCCTAGTTCTGAGGCTTCCAGACTTGGAGTGAATCATGCTACCAGCTTCTTCGGTTCTCCAGCTTGCAGATTGCCTATTGTGGGACTTCTCCACCTCTATAATCAGCTGAACCAATTACACCTCATAAATCCTCTCTCATACATCCTATCGGTTCTGTCTCTCTGGAGAACCTTGACTAACACACCCATGTTTATTGCAGCACTGTTCACAATAGCCAAGATATGGAATCAACCTAAGTGTCCATCAACAGATGAATGGATAAAGAAAATGTGGTGCATATGCACAATGGAGTACTATTCAGCCATAAAAAATAATGAGATCCTGTCATGTGTGACAACATGGATAAGCCTGTAGGACATTACATTAGGGGAAATAAGCCAGGCACAGAAAGACAAACTTTGCATGTTCTCACTTATTTGTGTGAGCTAAAAATTAAGTAATTGAAATGAAGATAGAGAGTAGAAGGGAGGCTGGGAAGGTTAGTGGGAATGTGGGGAGGAAATGGGGAAGGTTAATGGGTACAAAAAACAGAAAGAATGAATAAGGCCTAGTATTTGCTAGCACAACAGGGAAACTACAGTAAAAAAATAATTTAATCGTACTTCTAAAATAACCAAAAGAGCATAATTTGGTTGTTTGTAATACAAAGATAAATGCTTGAGGTGATGGATACCCCATTTACCCTGATGTGATTATTACATACTGCATACCTATATTAGAACATCTCGTGTAACCCATAAATATATACACCTATTATGTAACCACAAAAATAAAAAAATAAAATAAATATAAATTTAAAAGCTGATGTTATAGAGGTAGAAATTAGAACAGTGGTTACCAGAGGCAGGGGAGGGGAGGAGGGAAGGAGAGATGGGAAGAGGTTGGTCATTGGGTACAAAGTTACAGTTATAATTAGATAGGAGGAGGGTGACAATAGTCAACAATAATATGCTGTATAGTTCAAAATAGCTAGAAGAGATGATTTTGAATGTTCTCACTAAAAGAATAAGAGGGGGAATACTACAATCAATCTATGCCTATATATTTGATAACTTATATGAACCAATTTCTTAAACACACATGATAAAAAAAACTAATTCAAAGAAAAGTAGATAATCTGAATAGCCTGACATCTATTAAAGAAACTGAATCTGTAATTTAAAACTTTTCAAAAAAGAGAACTCCAGGCCAGACAATTTCACTCATGAATTCTATCCAACATTTAAGTAAGATGTAATACAAATTTTACAGTCTCTTTCAGAAAATTAAGGAGAGAAAATGACCCCACTCATATTATGAGGATAGCATCATCCTAATACCAAACTCAGACAAAGATATTACAAGAAAAAAACTAAATAGCAATATCTCACATAAACATAGGTACAAATATTCTTACTAAGATATTAGCCAATCACCTCTAGCAATGTATCAAAAAGATAATAATACATCAAGATCAAGTGGAGTTTATCCCAGGTATTCAAAGTTGGTTCAACATTCAAAAATCAATCAATGTATTTTATTATATTGTCATACTAAATAAGAAACATCAGATGATCGTATGAATAAGTGCAGAAAAAGCATTCAACAAAATTCAATATTAATTAATGATAAAATTCCCAACATGTTAGGAATAGAAGGAAATTTCCTTATTCTAAAAAAGGGTATCCATGGAAAACCTACAGTGAACCACTGAGTAATTTTCCCCTAAAATCAAAAATAAGTCAAGGATGTCCTTTCTCGCCACTACTATTCACTGTTAGTCCTGGAAGTCCCAGCTAGTGCAATAACACGTGCACACACACACACACACACACACACACACGCAAGCAGAGAGAGAGAGAAGTGAAAGGCATACATATTATAAGGGAGAAAAAATACCCCATTATGTTGAAAACCCCAAATAATGTACAATAAAACTCCTAAAGACCCTTCCAGAAGACTCCTAGACTTGATAAAGAACTTCAGTAAAGTTTCAGGACACAAAATCAATGTACAAAGCACAGTAGCATTTCTCTACACCAATATCATTCAAGCTAAGAACCAAATGAAGAACCCATTTACAACAGCCACAAAAAATAAAACACCTGGGAATACGTTTAATCGAGGAGGTGAAAGATCTCTACAAGAGGAACTACAAAACACTGATGAAAAGATTGTGTATGACACAAATAAATGAAAAAGCATCCCATGCTCATGGATCAAAAGAATCAATATTATTAAAATGACCACACCGCTCACAGCAATTTACAGATTTAATGCAATCTCTATCAAATTACCAACACATTTTTTCACATAATTAAAAAAACGTAAAATTCATATGAAACCCAAAGAAGAGACTGAATAGCCAAACCAATCCTAAGCAAAAAGAACAAAGCTTGAAGTATTACATTCTGACTTTGAATTATACTACAAGGCTATAGCAACCAAAACATCATGATATTGGTATAAAAATAGACATATAGACCAATGGAACAGAATAGTGAACCCAGAAATAAAGTACCTATTAACAACTGATCTTCTGTAACATCGACGAAATTAAACAATAGGGAAAGAATACCCTATTCAATATATGGTGCTAGGAAAACGGGCTAGCCATATGCAGAAGAATGAAACTGGACCCCTATCTCTCACCATATACATGAATTAACTCGAGATGGATTAAAGATTTATATTTTAGACATGAAACTGTAAAATCCTGTAAGAAATCTTTCCTGTAGGAAAAATTCTTCTGGACATTGGCCTGGCTTAGGCAAAGAATTTATGACCAGGTCCTCCAAAGCAAATGCAACACAAACAAAAATAAACAGATGGGACTCAGTTAAGCTAAAAACCTTCCACACAGCAAAAGAAACAATCAACAGAGTAAACCTACCTAATGAGAAAAAATATTTCCAAATTATGTATCTAACAAAGGCTAATATCCAGAATCTGCAAGAAACTCCAACAACTCAACAAGAAAAAAAAGAAAAAACAAAAAAACAAGTAACGCCATTAAAAAGTAGGCAAAGGGCCATGAATGGGTGTTTTTTGAAAGACATACAAGTGGCCAACAAACATGTAAAAGATGCTCAATATCACTAATTATCAGAGAAATGCAAATTAAAACCACACAATACTATCTTACACCAGTCAGAATAGCTATTATTTAAAAATCAAAAAGCAACAGATGTTGGTGAGGATGTGGAGAAAAAAGTAATGCTTATGCACTGTTAGTGGGAATGTAAATTATCACAACATTTATGGAAAAAAGTATGGAGATTTCGCAAAGAACTAAAAATAGAACTACCATTTGATCCAGCAATCTCACTACTGGGCATCTACCCATCTACATTTTACATATACATGGAATACTATGCAGCCATAAAAAATAATGAAGTCATGTGTTCCACAGCAACATGAGTGGAACTGGAGTACATTATCTTAAGTAAAGTAATTCAGAAACAGAAAGTCAAATATCACGTATTCTCACTTGTAAGTGAGAGCTTAACCATGGGTACACATGGACATATAGAATAATAGACATTGGAGACTACAAAAGGTGGAGGGTGGGAAGCTGACAAGGGTTGAAAAATTACCTGTTGGGTGCAATGTTCACTATTCAGGTGAATGGTACACTAAAAGCCCAGACTCCACTACGATGCAATATATGCATGTAAGAAATCTGCACTTGTACCCTCTAAATCCATTTTTAAAATGGAAAAAAAATCGCCGTAGGATACCACTTCATAGCCGCTGGAATGACTATTATAAGCAAACAAAGCAAAGAGCAAGCAAGTTTTCGTAGGGCCCTGGTGGGAGGTGTTTTTATCATTGGGGCAGGTCCCTCATGGGTGGTTTGGTGCCGCTCTCATAGTAATGAGTGAGTTCTCCCTCTGAATTCATGCAAGAGCTGGTTGTTTAAAAGACTGTGGCATGTCCCCCTACCACTTTCTCTCTTCCTCCCACTTTCATCATGTGAGATGCATGCTCCCACTCTACCTTCTGCCATGACTGGAAGCATCCTGAGGCTCTAACCTGAAGCAGATGCTGGCACCATGCTTTCTGTACAGCCTGCGGAATCATGAGCCAATTAAACCTCTTTTCTCTATAAATTACTCAGCCTCAAGTATTTCTTTATAACAAAGCAAAAATGGACTAACACAACATTTATATGAAATATCTAGAATAGGCAAATCCGTAGGCACAGAATGTAGATTACTGGTTGTCTGATGCTGGGAGTGGTAATGAAGACTGACTGCAAATGGTCAAGGAAGATGTCACTGACGTGATGCAAGTGTTCTAAAATTAGATTGTAGTGATGGTTGCACCACCCAATAAATTTATAAAATCACTTTAAATACATGAATTTTAGGGCACGCTAATTATCCTAAACATGTTTTTAAACACATTCAGCATCAAGAAAACAAAAGAGAACATTCATCTCTTTACTTTGCCAATTTATTAGGGATCACACAGAGGTCATTAGGCTGTTTGTTGTTGTTGCTGTGGTGGTGGTGGTGGTGGTGACAGTAAGGGTTGTGGTTTTCTCATGAGAGTCGAAGGTCAAGCAACCATTTGGTCTTTTAAAATAAAAATTTTAAAATCAATTAAAAAAGAATGTTGCTGGCTTGAAATCTGGAGTGGCCATAGGGGCAAAGAGAAGTGGATGGATTTTTAAATATTCAAGATGTAGAAGTGACAAGATTTTGTAGTGGTTAGATATAGGGAGTGGGGAAAGGTGAGGAGGCCTCAGACTGAGTATGCTTAAAGTTGAATTCCTGTTGTCCTCCCGAACTGGCTGTCCTCCCGTGCTGCCAATCTCAGTGAATGGATCAGCATCCTGGCACAGAGTTGACATTCATTGATTGCCTTTGGAGTGAACGAACAGAGTATGATGAATAGAGTAAAAATATGGCTAAACGAGGCAGACATCAGGTCCTGCCAAATAGCCAGTAGAAAACTCACCCTTAAGGTTGGCTCAGTAGATGTCCAGCACAATTTTCTTCTCACTTTTCAAACCATTTGGGGAATCATGAGGTCTTTCTCTCGTCCAGAAGAACGCTCACCTACATATCAGTCACTCCTTCCCTAGAACCTACAGGTATGGAGCAGGCTGAGTTCTTTCAAGGGTTTCTTATCCTGTAAATCTTTACACAGGGCAATGGCAGGTGCATGTACAGCCCATATGAGCATGGGGGATGCTTAGTGTTATAGAAAGGGGACCACAGTGGTGCCCAACTGATGGATCTGCGTTCTGTTTTGCTCCAAGCAGGAAGAGACTCTTCCCAACAAAGAGGTTTGTTGATCCCGGGGTCCTACTCCCAGACCCTGGAGGCATCAGATACAGCTGTCAGAAACATTGCAGACACAGAGTGATCCATTTGACTAGTTTTGCTGCTGTTCCCAGGGTTGACAAGCAGAAATACAGAACAAATGGTGGTTCCTGAAACAGACGCCAAAACAAGGAAGTGATCTGTTCCAGTCCAAGCTTCCAAGAAATAAAGAACTAGGTGGGGCACGCTAAACAAGCCCCCAGACTCAACCACCCCAGTGAACATTCCCTGGTTGTAGAGAGAAGTGAAATTTGCAACCCAGAACAGAAATCTGGCTGTGTGAGCAGTAGAATTGGAGGTGGAAACATTTAATAAAGTACAATTTTTTAACCCTCTTTTAGACAGTATCATTGGATAAACATCCTTTTCAATAATAAAAATCCAAGTCATTTCTGGCCCTTTTCCTGGAAATGCTTTCAAGTTACAGGAACACCAATAAGAGGCCCTTTTCTGGGCATGGAGCCCAGGACTCAAAGGGAGGCTCTAGAGAACATCTGGTCTGCTTGATATATAGAAGCTAGCACTGCATGTGTGTGTTTGTGTGCATGTGTTTCTCCTATGCTGACTCATGGCATTGAAGCCTCTCTGGAAACACCCCCACCCTTCTAGCCAGCCAGTTTATACACAGCCCTTTGGCTCCTCCTTGATTTAAATGTTAGGTCAGGAGGAAGAAGGAAAACGAATTCAAGAGCTGCACTTAAGCATCTAGAATTTTCTGCGTCACACCTCTTGAGAGAAGAGACTGGCTCCAGGTCTGACTCAGTCCACTACAAACTAGACTCTCTTCTTAAAGCACCAACATTACTTGAGTCTTTGGATAAAATTGAGAAAAGAGTCTACAAGTATTGTGGACTCTACAGGAGGCAGGAGGCTGACAACTGGCAGTAAAGACAAAGATGTCAGGCCTGAGGCCCAGCACTCAAGTGGACCCTGAGATTGAGCTTTTTGTAAAGGTAAGTTTTCCAGCTATAATAACTGCATGTAGAATATATTAGTTTTTGACACTGAAGTCCAATGTTTTTAAAAATTCTCCACATTTGGGCTAGAGATAGGAAAAAATGTTGTGATTATTTTCCTACTCTGAGTTCTAGAAAAATGCCCGGGTATGTGACTGTTCTTAGATGACAACAGGAAAAGAGAACTCTTCTGAAAAAGGCAAGGTGATATGGTGGAAAAGCACTAGACTGGTTTGTAGTGAGCAACTAACTTATATTCGCAATGGCTTCCTATATAACCTTAGAAAAATCCCTCCCTCTCTCCAGACCTTTGTTTCTCCATCTATACAATGAAGGAGCATGACAAGATGATCCTTAAGGGCTTTCCAAGTCTCGGAATCTGTGTTTTATGAGATAGGTTTTGAAAGGCCTGACTGGGTGGAGGGGAGGGTGGAGAATGACCTGAGAACTCCATTCCCACACATAGCCCAGACAGAACTTTCTAAACTTCTACAATGGACAAACATCACAGCAGGGTCACATGGACACTGTGGGAGAAAAAAACCAGGAGTCTATGTGCTTGTTATGTGAGGAGGGGGACATTTTAGAATGCTCTGCTGCTTCTTTTTGGTCTGCCATGGAGTTTTTTGGTTTTTTTTTTAACATGTCTTAACTTTTCAGAAAAGCACTTTGGAAAACCCCTAAATCAAGAGAAAGGAACATGTGTTTCCAAATTAGCTCATCAAGGAAGAAAAACTTATATGGGTTATTCCCAGTAAAAATTAGTTACTAAATCCTTGCTTGCATTAACTGTTTAGCTTTTCCCTTTATTTTCATTGACTATTGGAAGTATTCAGGATAATAAGAACAATAACAAACTCATATTGTGCCTGGCTCTTTTCTAAACACTTTACATATGTTACCTAATTTAGTCCTAACACCTTAGGAGAGAGGTTGTTATTAACGGTGCTTATATATTACTAGCATCATCAGTAGTAGTAGTGATAGTAGTAGTTATTACTACTTCATTACAACTTTTAGTTATTACAATATTATAATGTTGTTCTCATCATTTCTAGATAGGTAAACTAAGGCAATAAAGTTTAAGTAACTTGCCTCTAAAACTATACAACTTCCTGATGGCTTACAAAGACATAAAATGAGATATACTCACCAAATGTTAAGTTAAATACCTATTGGCAAAAGTATGTGTTTACAGCCATTTAGATTATTTAACAGTTTGTCACATATATACACTAAGGACATCACCAACCTGTCCTTTCAAAATTGTGAGAGAAAGACCCTTGAATTCCTGCAGTGCTAGGTAACGCGATTAAGTGTTTGCTAAACTATCGGGCATAAGAGCGACTTCTCCTATCTCTGGGTTGTAGCAAAACATATAACTGCTCAGATAGGATATAAATGAGCTGTAATTTCCTAGCTAGCTTTTTACATTTACCAATTCCAAATCAGAAGTAATGTCTCTTCACTGGGTAACTAAAGTGTTCCCTTTGTACGAACTGTTAATTCAACTCAATTAGACTCCTTAAATCAATTGTTGGCTTTGATGTATGTGTTTATCTTCATAGACTTTTTATATTTGGGTGGTAATCTGGACAGGAAACTTTAGCAAGTCACACATGGATGAGAAAATGTTGAATTAAATAATAACTTTCAAAGTAACCAATAATTTATTGAGTACTTACTATATGGTAGGCACTGTGCTAAGTGGTTTATTATTAACCCTCTTTTATGAATACAGAAATTAAAGCAAAGAGCAGCTAAGTAACTTTGCCCAAGGTCACATAGCTAGTTAGTAGCAGAGTTAGAATTCCAATACTTTAAAATAACTATGTCTAATATTATTCAATTGTTTTCAGTTGTGTGAACTTTTTAGTAAACTATTCCAGAATTTTATCAGGTGGAGTGCTCTAGATAGATGTAAGCTTATCTGATGACATTGATACAAACTACAGATTTTCTGGAAGAACCTCAAATATCATCTGGTCCAGGTTTTTGTTTTATTTTAAGCTGTGTTCCACAGGTCTCTAGAAGTTTCATGGAAGATATTGGGAGGGGAAATAGGGGTTGAGAAGGACTAAAAGTGCTAATGAGTAATTTTTAAAAGGCATTACTACAAGAGATTAAGCATTCTCCTGTCACAATTAAGAATTTATACCACAATATCTATGTGTTCTGTGTAGTCAATAAAAACATTGTCTTTTAGCTCTGAATGATTTGAGCAAGGTTTCTATCTAATAACTAAGAACAAAGGATTTGATAACACACATTTTATTTTCTCTAAGTGCAGGGATGAAATAATCTTAATGGTTTGTTGTTTGTTGTTATATGGAATGTTTGCATTCTGCACCAAAGACTCTAAAATTAAGTTTTAGTATATTTGTACATAAAATTATGGAATCTAATATTTGGACCAAAATTCTGAATGTAATAATTTTGTCAAAAACTTTTTTAATGTGTGGGAGAAAGAGGGAAGAGATGATACTCTTCTCTGAGTGTTCAGACCATTTCAAAGTATCTTATAGCTATTATAAATACTCATAAAGACTGATTAATATAAAAATTCGACGAAACTATTAAATGAGAGAAGGCAGTGTTTAAGAGTATGGTGTATGGAGGATATAGTCCTAGTCCTGAATTTGCTAAGTGAGAAGAGGATGTATGTCATCAACTCTTGATTAGCCGACTGTACTTGAGCAAATTAGCCTCTCTGAGCCTCAGTTTCCTCACCTGTAAAACAAGAGTAATAACAGAGCCTACCTCATAGCATCATCCTATTTGTAAGCATTAAATAAAACAAGTATATAAAGCACAGTAGTTGGCAATGTAGTAAATACTATATAAATGTTAACTATCATTGCCATTATTATTTTTCATGTTTAAAAACTTAGATCACAAACACAAAGAGAAAAAAAATTGTTTTGGTGAATGGCCACAGCCTGTCTTTGCCAGCTGAAGATAATTAAGAGGTCGGTAATTCATCAATCAGGCTAGTGAATTTATATCCTAAAATTTTATGTGATGGCACTTTAAATCAGCATAACATAACAGAAAAAAAAAAAAAAAAACAATCTTCTGTTTTCCTGTAAAACTTTACTGCATTTCCCCCACACCTCAGTGTTTTATTCTCCTTTTGCCAAAGGCAATCCACCCTTCCTGCTGTGTCTATTATCAGACTCCATTCTTCTTCCTGCCTCCCACCCTTAATCATGTTTCCCCTCACTAAACCTAGTTTTGATTGGATCCTTAGTCTGACTTCCATTACAAAACAAATGCAGCTGCTAAGGTTGGTTGTCTCTTCCCATACCTCTTCACACCCCGCCATCACAAAGATCAACAATATCATTTTCTTTGTCACATCCACTATCACGGAAAGAAAATTTTGTCAAAAAATTGAAATTTTGTCCAGTGTTTCTGGACCTTAATAATGCTACGCATAATAGATCAGAGCAGCCGTAAGATTAAGTACCTTTTATTTCCTTGTATAGGCTACTCTCTCTAGTCTTTCTTATCATAATTCTTGGTGATTTTAATATCTACACAGATGATTTTTCCAACACTCTAGCCCCTCAGATCCCTGACTTTCCCTCCTCCAGGGATCTTAGTCCTTATCATCTCTCAGGTGCTTCTTCCCATAGTCATATCCTTACCTTTGTCATTGCAATGTCTGCAACCTCTGCATAATATCATTTATTTGGGGGTGTTTTTTGTTCTTCTTTTTGAATTTCTCTATATTCATATATTTTATCAAGGTAAAATTTACATAAAATAAAATGCATGCATTAAGTGTACAGTTCAATAACTTGACAAATGTATATGCACATATAACCACCATTCCAATCAAAATGTAGAATACGTCCATCACCTCAGAAAGTTCCCTTGTGTCTCTTTGCAGTCAGTCTTCCCTACCCTACCCTTTACCTCTCTCCGCCACAGCCAACCATTGATCTGCTTTCTGTTAGCCTTACATTTTCTAGAATTTTCTGTAGATAAAATTATATGGTATGTATGCTTTTGTGCCTGCTCTCTTTCACTCAGCATAATTATTTTAAGATGCACCCATGTTGTTGTGTGTTTCAATATCTCATTCCTTTTTATTACTGAAGCATTCCATTGTATGGATATACCATAATGTGTTTATTCATTCACCCATTGAAAGACATTTGGGTTGTTTCCAGTTTGGGGCTATTGTGAATATTGTTATAAGTATTCACTTACATATTTCTATGGCCATATGCTTTCATTTCTCTTGGGTAAAGACCTAAGATTGGAATTGCTGGGTCATATAATAGGTACATATTTAACTTTGACAAAATATTTTAAAAAGCAGTTGTACCATTTTACACTTCACTTCATTATGTGAGAGTTCCACTTGCTCCACTTTCCTGTCCACACTTGGTATGGTCATTCTTTTTCATTTCAGTTATTCTAATGTGTTTATCATGTTAGCTCGTTGTGGTTTTAATTTGCCTTTCCCACATGTCTAATGATATTGGGCATCTTTTCATGTCCTTATTTATCATCTGTATATCTTCCTTTTTAACGTGCTCAAATCTCTTCCCCATTTTAATTGGTTTTTAACTTTAATTTTTAATTTTTGTGAGTACACAGTAGGTATATATATTTATGATATATATTTATGGATTACACAGAATATTTTGATACAGGCATACAACATGTAATAATCACATCAGGTAAATGGGGTATCCATCCCCTCAAGCATTTATCTTTTGGTTTACAAACAATTCAATTAAACTGTGTTAGTTATTTTTAAATGTACAATTAAATTATTTTTCACTGCAGTCACCTTATTGTGCTAGTAAATACTAGGTGTTATTCATCCTTCCTAGCTATTTTTTGTACCCATTAACACTCTTCACTTCCCCACACACACCCCCTCACTACCCTTCCCAGCCTCTAGTAGCCATCCTTCTACTCTCTCTCTCTCTGAGTTATATTGTTTTCATTTTTAGCTCTCACAAATAAGTGAGAACATG